TTTTCTGGAATACCTCAACAGCTATATGCATCTGGTAATTTTTGCAATTGTTTTGACTGATACTCTATCGTCTGTTGGTCAGCCTGCTGTTGCTGTATGCAGTGGAAAGTTTTTGCAGTTGTTGTGACCAGTACAGATTCGCCCCGGTTGTCAGCCTGCTGCGGTCATTCAAATTTATAATAAATGATAAATAAGGATGTGAATTTGGCTTTCAGTTTTTCAGCTGTTGGAAAAGGGAAAATTAGAATGTTTTGCGGAATCGAATTTTTTAACACGCTTCAAAAAAAAATCCGTCTTTTTATGAATTTGACTATATTTTTTTTTATAGTTTTAATCTTCACTTAACCTATAAACATTTTCAGGTAAAACACCAAAAAATCCTGGATTTATGCCTTCATTTGTCCGTGAAAAAGTGCGAGATGTATCGCAAAGTCGTAACTCTGATCACTTAGCGATGAAGTTTGATGTAAGCTTTTTTTTTCTTTTTTATAAACTATGGCACCAAATATATTAAGGCTCTCGAACAGTCGATGAGGGGAAGCCTTACTAAGATATTTTTTTCACACATGAGACGCAGTGGTGCCATATCCTTCGATTCTGAGCAACATACCTCCAGGTACTTACCGTCTCTTCGATTTATGTGTGGCACTTGGAGGGCGTTTAACTGACTGATACGTGAAATGGAAGAACAGAAGGAAGTCATGTGTGAATGTCATGAGTATGAAGACATTTTATGACGCAATCTGTATTTCATCCCTTAGCTGTATACACAGACTGAACAGTGCATGCGGGTAGGAGTGGGAATCATCAGTACAGCCTCCTACTCGCCAAGTGCTGAATAGTCATGTGTCTAATTTGCATGACGGGTAACAGGAAGAAATAGATATGAGTGAAGGAGCAAGCAAAGTGAGAAAGGAAGGAAAGAAGGGAAGTTAAAACGTGAACTTCACAGGTAGTCAGCCAGGCGGGCAATATTTCCTGCTTATCGGATTTCACTTTCTCGCACGGTTACAGTGACATCCTGCAAGCCGCCAGTCTGATGTGTAGGAACTCTAAAAAATGTTTTGTCGTCAGCTTGTTGGTAATCTTGGCTTTAATTTCGTCTCCTAAGAGAACTACGAGTTCAGTGATTGACAGAAGCACTTGGCAAGGCATTAAGCATTTTAAGTTGTTTGTGGTACGTATTCAGGCATCACCACCTCTTCTCGAATACCACCACTTCTAGACGGGGATGGGATCCTTCTCGACTAGCAGCCACTGTTTTTATACAATTTCCTATTTTACTTGCACCTGTTTGCTTCTGTAATCTTTTTAAACTCTGTTTCTTTATACGTTTCATATCACTTTTGTATACCACATTCAATGTGCATATTTATGCTACGCTGAATTCATTTGCGTTTTTGCATATATGCAAATGTAAAAACGCATATTGACAAGAGGCTCTCTGTGTATTCGCACTTTCTGTCACACACTTTCAACTCGAGAACCAGAAAAGCTAGAAGGTTGAAATTTTGGGAGTATGTGCTTACACTATTTGCGACCCTCCCATTTTAATATCATAACCCCCGTGAGGCTGGGTGCCTTAAAAAATGTGCAGTTTTTTCTTTTTTTTAGTTCTGTTCGCTTGTTCTAGAAATCTAAGGACTGCGAATCATACCACGCAAGTTCGCTTCCAAGACCCAAGCATTCGGTGTTGGCAAAACCAAAAGTCGGATCAACGTTTCGATCTTCTTCGAGTTCAAGAATTAGTAATAACAGTAGCAGCAGTAACACACCAAGTGCTCCGCTGTATCATCAACGCGCAGCCGCTCTTGATAATTCCAAAAAACTCCAAAATTGCGGTATCTCAGTTCAGCAACCAACAAAATCGATGCAAAAATCAACCAAAGTGCTTTCACGCCGAGAAGTAGTTCAAAATAAATCAGCACGAGTACAGCCATTCAGTTGCCGGAATGCAGAAGAAAAGGTTTGTATTGTTACTGTCCTAGTATTTTTGCGTCTCATAGGGGATTCAAGAGAATGGCGAAGGTGGGGGAAGGGGGTAGGACTT